CTATCAAACTGGAATGGACCACTCTGGTAGCTGCAGGAGACCAAGGTGTGAAGTGGCTCCTTTGGATTTAAAGAGACAGCCTCAAAACGAGTTGATCTAAGACAGTCTCAGAAAAGAGGTGAAAGAGGGGCTTGTGGAGTTACAATAAGGAGGAAATCAGACCAAGGCATTGCAGTTCCACTTTATAGACCCCGACTGAATGATTTACATGTAAAAGAGAAGGATTTAAAAACATGATATTAAGAAGCTCCTTGAACAAAAAGCAAAATGTCTTTGGTAAAAAATAAAAAACGAAAGTTGTGTTTGTTTAAACCTATTAAAACACAATGTTCTGGATAACTGAGAACGTTCACCAAAACCCAAACAGGTAAGAATGTAAGAAAAGCTCTGTTGTTGTTGGAAAAAGCTTCACTCAAGCAGTGAAAGTTGAATCTTTTTAATATTAAAGCTCTTTTTCTCTCATAGTCTCCAAAACTGTGCTGTAAAATAACAGATGTCTAAAATGTTTCAAGAAGGAATTATGTATATATTTTTTTACTTTTGTTGTTTAGAAGAGTTTCCAGGTCCTGAAGGATTTTCCCGTCTTGCACCCTGGGAAGAACCAGAAACGGTCAACATGCAGTTTGTTTCCTCTGATTTATGGAAAAACTCACTTGGTTACCTTTGTTTGTGATGGAGCTCAGCCAGGTGGCTCAGCTTCACTCGCATCCCCTTCGCCCTGAAACACGATGAAATCACATGCGTATTGAGCATTTTAAACGAAAGAGGAAATACTTTTCACATAAAACAGGATTTACTTACTTTTCTAAACATGAGGACGGCAGGGAGGAAAGACCTTTGCACATTTTGTAAACTTAAAGCAGATCTTAACTAACTGAATTTCACTTTAGGAGAAACGTAGTCTCAGTCAGTCCGCCTCCAAAGTGAAAATGTGTTGCCTCTTATATGCATCTGTGTTATCAAACCTGTCAATCTGCAGCAGGTGTAACTCTGGGAGCTGAGAAGTGTCTTGCTGGACGTTGTGTACGTGTTCCCACATGTGGCCTGTCAGTAGTGAATGAAAGGAAAACCAGAGAAAGAAGGTGGTGTTTGAGCTCGGTCAGGGTACACTGACAGTCCTGAAAGTCTTCATCCCAGGACAAAGAGGTGATGATGGAGGAGCAGGTGGAGAGGCACCATCCCTCTGAACAGGAAAGCAGAAACAGAACCTGATGATAGGCTTTAATTATAGAACTGCAGTCAGCAGGTTAGATAAACAGTTCTATTAAAAAGCCAGACTTTTTTTATGTGTGTTTGGATCCATAGTGATCCAAGGTTCAGTGAGTTTTATTTTTGGACTTTTTTCACTCGTTTTCTGTCCAGTAACTGTTCCCGATGAAGGTTTTTCCTTAAAAACACAAAAAAGTCAACAAAAGAATAAGTTTCAAACCTTAAAAAAAACATGTATCCAGTGTTGGGCAGCACTAATCTAAAGATTAGTTGCACTAACCCTAAAGCACTAACTCAAATATTTAGGTCCCCTAATTCTAAAGCACTAACACACTGAAAAAATGAGCAAAAGCTAATTCTAAAGCACTAAAATAACCCAGTTGACACAATATTTACTGTGTGCAGAATGTTGTCACTTAGTGTCCTTGGGCCAAATCGGAGTCACCCACAGGCCACATTTGGCCCGCTGTCCAGGATGAAACATCCAAGATCCATAAATACATCAAGGACAAAGCCTCAACGGACGATGTGCTC